GCGAAATTGTTGGACATGCATTCCTGCATAACTTGAGATATCAGACGACTGGACAAGACAGCTCCAGGAACCTCAGATAAGCTCTCTAGATTTGTGTATAATTCTGGCCAGTGTTTTCATAAATTTAGTTAGTGAGGTTTTTCTGAGTATGATACAACTTAATATCCAGTCAAATTGGTGAGTGATATTAACATATATTTTCCTTCTGTTATGTATATGTGAATTTATATATAATCATTTTTTAATATACAGTCCACAAATTTATATATTTACCAGTATTCCTGGTGTTTACCTGGAGTTTACCTGGAGAGAGTTCCGGGGGTCAACGCCCCCGCGGCCCAGTCTGTGACTAGGCCTCCTGGTGGATCAGAGCCTGATCAACCAGGCTGTTGCTGCTGGGTGTATGTATATTTCATTTAATTAATAGGTCCAGAGCAACTTGTGGATATGACAGTGGTAGGTATCGAAAGGGGACATTTTTTGCGACCTAAGTGTCCCAAATTCCTACTTGTCTAAGTGATAAATAATAATTATCTATGTTCATTTATTGTTATGTACATAATGATACATACAGATAAATGCAATTTTCCACATATACTTAATAATCTTTATTTCTACAAGTACATGATACAACGCACACATGCTGTATAGAAAGTCCCTGTTATGAAGAGCATTTCTGACAGGTTAATTTTGTCTCCAGGATGCGACCCACACCAGTCGTCTAACACTCAGGTACCTACTTGCTGCTAGTTTAACAAGGACAGTAGGTGTCGTAAGGAAATGGGCTCAATGTTTTACAATAAGAACCTAAGAATAACCCATACCGGTATCGAACTGCAGACCTTAGTGTGTGAGCTGAGCGTACTACCAGCCGAGCTACACAATCATTTGAGTAGTATGCACAACAGACGCGCACACATCCTATTAATATACGCCAAAGTGGTTGGGCCACTTAACCTTTATTACCCCCCACCTCTCCTCACTCCCACCCACCACTCCTTCATATTCCATCCTTACCTATCCTTCTCCATACCCCTAACTTACTAAAACTCTGGCTATAGTAGCTAAGTGGTCCGTGGCCTGGTGGCCACGGACCACGGTGAGTTCCGGGTTCGATTCCCGGCAAGGGTAGAAACATTGGGCGTGTTTCCTTAACTGGTTGTCCATGTTCACCCATCAGTAATGTAGGTACCTGGGTGTTAGTCGACTGGTGTGGGTCGCATCCTGGGACAAAACTAACCTAATTTGCCCGAAATGCTCTGCATAACAAGCAGCTTTCTATATAGTAGTATGTCATTGTTGTCAGCTAGGACTGTATACTTTGTACATGTACTTGTAGAAATAGATATATTATTCTGTCCAACAATTGCACGATCAAAATCTCGGGAAAGATCGCGCCATATTTCACTCTGAAATCAGGCTCGCTTGGAAAATCAACTCACTCCCATTCAACATAATTAATTTAGCGCAGCCTTTGGCTATATTAGCTCATTCTGCTACATAAACCTTAATTTTTAACATGTGCCAAGTCTCGATGAGGATTTAGCATGCGAAAGGAGGAGGAAATCAGATGGCAACATATACAGACAGAAGGTACTGAAGGCAGCCATGTTGTGGGGAACCATGAAATACTTTACTTGCAAAGATGAAATATATGCAACTTTATTTCAATGAGAACGTGAAGAACAGAGTCTTGTTCATGTAATATTACCACACAGCATTCTCAAATATCATATGATGTCCTTAATTTCTATAGGGTTGGACTGGTAGGTCTACTATAGGCCTTGGTCGGATGTCCAAAAACTCTAGTGACGAGTGTTACCTAACCTAACATTCACAGAGCTTGACAACAGATGTCTAAACGCACCACAGCTTGCAAGACAGCACAAGACCTCCCATGCTGGGGGCTTCCGAATGACTAAGTACCACACGTCACACATGTCAGGAGCCAGGGGGATGGGACACCAAAGTTGAGCCAAAACATATTAAGTGGCCCAGATCAGAATCAACCTACCAATAAAATTTTCCCTACAGCACATAACGGTTTGAAATTAATACTTATACTTGTTCAGATCTACAATTATACACACAAACTATATTCCTGCGGTCATAATAAACTGCTCACGGGTCACTAACTTGTAAAAAAAAAAAAACGTTGGGATGTCTTAAGGTGGTTATCTCAAAGCTTACTGGGTGACCATGTGGTAGCGCCTTCGAGTTACTGTTACTATACAGACAAAAGTTCTTAGTGTCGAAACCTGGTCGAGACGAGGCGTATGGGTGAGTCCCTAACACCAATTACCCTTTTTACCTAGCAGTAACTACATCTCTGGGAGTTAGTCTACTGTTATGGATTACAATTTAATGAATTAGTCTACTGTTATGGGTTGCATCCTAGGTGAGAAGGATAGCCTAAAAAAAAAGAACCCTAGCGGAAATACGCCACACTTGCTTTCCTGGGTTGTTCTGGGTTATTAACCCGATTAAAGTCTTCAGTCAGTGTAACACATCTGCCTCCATTAGAGTCACTTTTCATAAATTTCTTAACGTTGTTTATTGTAGGAACAATAAACAGTTATTTATTGTTCCTGCAATAAACAACTTAACGTTGTCCAGAAAATCGGAATTTCAAAATCTTAGTTTTTCAGTACACCGAGGTGGCCTCTCTGAGCATGTAGCAGCTGTGTTTATATGTCAGTCATAACACTAGAGGGAAGCCAGCTCTCTCTCACTTACTATATGCCAGTCATAACACTAGAGGGAAGCCAACTCTCTCTCACTTACTATATGCCAGTCATAACACTAGAGGGAAGCCAGCTCTCTCTCACTATATGTCAGTCATAACACTAGAGGGAAGCCAGCTCTCTCTCACTTACTATATGTCAGTCATAACACTAGAGGGAAGCCAGCTCTCTCTCACTTACTATATGTCAGTCATAACACTAGAGGGAAGCCAACTCTCTCTCACTTACTATATGCCAGTCATAACACTAGAGGGAAGCCAGCTCTCTCTCACTATATGTCAGTCATAACACTAGAGGGAAGCCAGCTCTCTCTCACTTACTATATGTCAGTCATAACACTAGAGGGAAGCCAGCTCTCTCTCACTTACTATATGTCAGTCATAACACTAGAGGGAAGCCAACTCTCTCTCACTTACTATATGCCAGTCATAACACTAGAGGGAAGCCAGCTCTCTCTCACTATATGTCAGTCATAACACTAGAGGGAAGCCAGCTCTCTCTCACTTACTATATGTCAGTCATAACACTAGAGGGAAGCCAGCTCTCTCTCACTTACTATATGTCAGTCATAACACTAGAGGGAAGCCAACTCTCTCTCACTATATGTCAGTCATAACACTAGAGGGAAGCCAGCTCTCTCTCACTTACTATGTGTCAGTCATAACACTAGAGGGAAGCCAACTCTCTCTCACTTACTATATGTCAGTCATAACACTAGAGGGAAGCCAGCTCTCTCTCACTTACTATATGCCAGTCATAACACTAGAGGGAAGCCAACTCTCTCTCACTTACTATATGCCAGTCATAACACTAGAGGGAAGCCAACTCTCTCTCACTTACTATGAAATTATAAGTTTCGTTTAGTAGTTCGTACAGTACAAGTCCACTGGCAAAGTTATGGTGAATCATGTACACAACTGTATGATACATCCATAAGAGTATATTGGTGGTTCATTTGTACACGTTTATAATACAGTACCACAAGGAGTGTACTGATAACTCGTATATACCTGTGCTTGACATATGACCACTAGAAGTGTACTGGTGGTTATGTATGACACATGACCGCCGGCACGTTAGCAATTTCTGTGCTTGTGTGTATGCTTATGATACGTTAACTGGACTGATGCCAGGGCGTGGAGCATGTGTGTATACTCACCTGTTTGTACTCACCTATTTGTGGTTGCAGAGGTCGAGTCTCTGCTCCTGGCCCTACCTATTGTCACTTTCCGGATTTATTCCCTCCTAGACTCGTGGACCTTTTCATACCTATCCTTAAAACTATATACGAAGCCTGCCTCCATACTTGGTTCAGGTTATTTCACTTCCTCACTTCCTGACCACCATGAGGCTCAGGAAATACTTTCTAATATCCCTGTGACTCGTACGAGTCTTTTAGCAACCAGCTATACCCGTTTCTCACCGCTAACAGTATCCCTACTTACCCTATCAAGTCTTGTAAGTATTTTATGTGTCGTAATCATGTCTTACCTAATTCTTGTATCCTCGGATGTCGTCAGGTTCGGTTTCTTTAGCCTCTCGTCATAGCTTATTCCCCATGACTCTTTGATTAGTCTCTTTGCATACCTCTATACTTTAACTTTCTTCACATGCTGTATAAGGCTGCATATTGGTGATTCATACTCCAAGATAGACGTAACATATTTCGTATATAGGCATGTGAATGACTCGTTGAGAGTCCTGAAAGCTACTTTTAGATTTGGTGATATGTTCGGCATTATGTTCAACTTAAAGTTTACAGTCTCTGTTTCCGCTATACGGCTCTGTTTACTTACGGTCTTCTTGCCCCTTCCACAATTTTCATAACTTAGCATTTGCTGGGGTTATATTCTGCTAGCCACTTGTCTGACCAATTGTGTGTTAGTTACCATCTGTGTAATTGTGTGCGTGAATGTTTTATGTGATTGTGAGTGTGTGTGTGTGTGTGTGTAATGTGTGTGTAATGTGTGTGAGGGGGAAGTGGATGTATACACATCCACTTATGCTTTTGTGTATGTGTGCTCGTGGGTATGTTTACGCATGTATGTAAGGGTGTATTAGAAGGGTTAATGTTAAATAGTGATTAAGAGCTAGCAGATGTCATGCAAGTCTGATTTAAGTATCACCTTCATCCCATACCCTCGTGTACTTCAGCAAAATTTCTTTGACTAAAGCGTACAAAGTGGGAGTGATAAAAGCAAGGTGCGTAGGCTGGGTGACGTAGGGGCTGGCTGGTGAGGGGTGAGGCGGGGCACGAAGATGTTGCAGTGTTGCTTGTGCCCCCAGGCAATCCGCACACATACTGCGCCTCGGGATAATATTATACCAAGCACTCAGGCTCAACCCTCGGGTAAACATGGGACTCCTGGTGCACGGCCCCTTCCCAGTGATTACTTTAGTCAGGTATAAAGAAACTTGGGGATAAACGTGTTGTTATGGGCACACATCACACCAGTAGAGGGCCGTGCTCGTAGCCAACACTGTAGGCTATTACCAGTGTATAAAGTTGCGGCCGGGTATGAGGTGGGCGCAGGGTCTTCAAGGTAGGACCGCCTGATTCTTCTGTGTACAGACTCAAGTTTGGACTATCCTGACAAGATGGGTGTGGAGCGGGGACGCACCTCGCAGCGCTCTCATGGAGTTTCATCTCAGCGATCCTACGGTACGTCCTCGTCTTCATCCCAGGGCTCAAGGGCGCGCTGCAAAAACTGCTGTCGAAAGTTCGTGTCGTTTATGTGTACACAGGTGGGCGTGGGCGGCCTGGTGGTATCCTATGCCATAATGGGCGCCTTCGCCTTTATAGCCATTGAGGGTAAGGAAGAATACTGGATGACAAATCGGACGTCACACATCCACAATAACACAATTCGAACTCTGTGGAATTTCACAGAACACCTCAATGTGCTTCACAAAGACCAATGGTACGAAGACGTCAATGACACGCTATACGAGTTCCAGAAAAAGATTGTAAAAGTAGTGAAGTCCGGGTATGACGGTCGGTCGCACCTGGAGGTGTGGAACTTCCCAGCGTCTCTCATGTTCTGTCTGAGCGTGTTTACAATGATCGGCTACGGTCACATGACACCCAAGACGGAGTGGGGCAAGATCGCTACCATCATGTACGCTGTCCTTGGTATCCCGCTCTACATCGTCTACTTCATGAACATGGGTCGAGTGTTTGCTAAGTCCTTCAAATTCCTGTACCGCGTAATGTATAAATGCGTTAATAGGAACAAAACCAAGACGCTGGATGAAGGGGATCTGAGCGAGGAACAAGGCGAGGAACAAACCATCATCGTGCCCTCCACTGCCTGTATGTGGGTCATGATCTTCTATATGACCACAGGCACCATCATGTTCGCTGAGTGGGAGAACTGGTCCTACCTTAATTCCTGCTACTTCTCCTTCACCTCCCTTGCTAAGATCGGGATCGGAGATTTCGTTCCGGGTTTCGGTGGTGGTGGTTTTGGCGAGGCCACAGAAGACAGCCAGACAAAACTCATTATCAACTTTATGTACCTCTTGATAGGCATGGGCATCATCGCTATGTGTTACACTCTCATGAAGGAAGAAATTATGCTAAAGTTGAGAGGACTGAAACATGATATTAAAGAGAAGGTGTTAGTTTGTGGATTGAAACTTGGTCTCTATCAAGAAGATCAACCATACCACGACACTCGTCCGCCAATTCACGGGCGTACAAAGTCTGTACGCAAGTCCATGCGTCGACGGTAGTCCGTGGTGACCATGGATAATTAAGACTGTACTTTTAAATACCGGTCTGGGCCACTTTATATGTACGAAGTTAGATAAAGCGTGAAGTGCCGCTGGTCTGGTATGGTGGCTAGTAGATGTACAACGTACAGTGACTGTTCTTCATACGTACTAAAATTTCCAACAATTTTCTCTAAACTTGGACCAAGAGGACAGTCTCCTTGTATATCTTATGAAGTTTTTGTACCTTAGGAGTGTATATCAAGAGTGTTGTACCTGAAGAGTGTATCTCGTGTTTCTCAGAGTGTATGCATTTAAAGGGCATGTGTATGTATGTATTGTTAGCATTGAGCTGTGACCACAGAAATGTGCGGTACATTATGTTTACGAACATAATGTATCTTTTGTGGAGTCACTGTGTGTAGGAGCTCAGTCAGGTTATGAGTTCAAATTAATCTCCAATACACAAGTTTCAAATATAACAATAATCCATTGAGATACACTGTTGAATTTTGCATTTCATTTCTTTATGTGAATGTGTAAATAGTATCTAATAACTGTGAATAGTGAACTATTGAGGAATTACATGTAACTGACTTTAATGTAATATTTTTTATGTTAAATGTATTATTTATATAAAGGTGGTCGTACTCCCTCATGTTCTGTGTAATTAAACAAAAACAACTATGATGATTAGAAGCCGCCGTGCGTTCTACTTATTGAAATAGAAAATAAAGAAGTATTCTCCGACCTGTGTTTGTTTTAACATCTAGCTGCCTTGTTGTGGCTTATGATAATTGAAGAAATAAAATGTTCTTTTTATTAGAAAGAGATATTGATGTTAGGACAGCGTCATGTGAAAGCCTGGTTTAACATGAGAGCGCTCGGGTGATGAAGAGGGAAGGTTGTGATCTGGACCTTGCTTTAAAGCATCAATATTGAGGGACTGACGAGTGTACCACTACTCGCACAGCTGTTCGTCAGCCACCTCACTTGTGTCGGCTTAAAACAGAAAGTAACGTATTTGAAAAAAAGAAAAAGATACACATGAAGAGTAAGCAAAGCATATCTTTGTAATTCACATATTTAGAGCGCTAAAGTGTGGGTCACATTGGGTGGTGTGGGCTCCATCCTACGTCCGCTGTAAGTGATACAAACACAGTATATAACTGTACTCTCCTATTCGCAGTAGAAACACAAGTGTAAAGTTAGAACCCAATTGAGTCAAAAACATAAAAAATTACACAGAGCTACAAACTATAGGGAATTTTAGTCAATGAGAAATCGACTTGGAAAACTTGGCCACATGTAAGGGCCAGAAATATGAATAGCAAAAGTAATACAGGCAGCAGAGCCAAACACGTAAGGAAAGTTCCGAGAATAAGAGGTAGAGAAGAACCGCTAAAACTAGATGTTAGCGAAACCAATCAAATATAGGTGACATTCACTACAGACTAAAATAGGAATTAAAGTGGACTATCAGTATATTTAAATTGAGGGACGTACACTTATCGGTATATCTTTGTGTATATAGTGGAGAAGTTAGACCAGAGAAAGAGAAACGCAGAGAGAGGTCAGAAACCACGCTGCTGAATGAGACTATGAAGGTGTGAGGAATTCCCTGAAAAAAAAGTGTATCTAATAAGGAAACCGGAAGCAAAATAGCCCAAGAGATGATGACATTAAAACATAGCTTACAAAATATAAAGATAACCCTTAGTTCAACAGGTGTTGCAGGGAAGTCGAAGCAAGAAACACAAAGGACAGAAGAGGTAGACCAGCTGTAAAGTTAGTTAATATGCATAAGTATGGAAGGAAGATGGTAAACAAATTGAAATTGAAATACAGTCATACAAAAGGCAAAAAAAATCAATTAATAGCCACTTAAGACGGAAAATTACTGTAAAGAACTAAGTGATAAGGCTGAAGATGGAAGAGGAACACCCAGGGTAGAGGATAGTCTTTTATATCAGTAATAATAACCTGTGGTGTAACGCTACCAGTCTGTCCATTTTCTCTAATATTAGAAGTACATTTGTTCTCTTCCACATCACTACCACTTATTCTGCATCCATTATTGTGTGTGTGTGTGTGTGTGTGTGTGTGTGTGTGTGTGTGTGTGTGTGTGTGCGTGCGTGCGTGCATGTGTATGCCCGACATTAGCCCACACGAAGAATACAAAACATAAGAAGAGTACTACATATTTAGAACATAATAAGATTATGTGAAGTATTTAATTAATCCAGTGTAAGGCTGTTATTGATTTCACTGAAGTTTTACCAAGAAGTTTATCTGATAGGAAAATTTAGGAGCTTTACAGAACCTTGTATGTCAACGTGGCAAGTGTGTGTCGTATCATAGTGACTTTTCTGAACGTATATATATATTAATATAGAGCTGGAGGAAGGGTGTGTAGGGGAAATGAATCAGAGGTGAGGTCATCTCCTGGAATATCCGGAGAAATGTCGAGGATTAACAGAGGTGTCACCATCAATAACAGGGAGCCAAGCGGTGCCACTATTCTTGACACTCTGGCCTGAGACTCAATCACAACCTCCCGTTTTGACCCTTTCATGCCTGCCTAAATTTAAACCATTTTGCTTTTTATGGAGATGTGATCAAGGTAGGAAAAGGTAGTGATAGCGACGTTATGTACGTATGTATTTCACGAAGGAGCGCTAAATTTGTAGGGGCCATACATAAATTTCAACTGTAGTTACAAAACTGAAACGACGTTACGTAAATTAGCTACGGGACACACCTGCTGCACCAAGACACAACTGTCCGACATACCTACTACAAGTTGAAGATTGAGACACTTATGCAATCTTCAACTTGTCGATTTTTCAAACCATTCATCACATACCTACTACAAACACTTGTCCTCCAAAACACACACAAACACAAGCGCGCGCGCGCGCGAGATTTAAGGAAGTGTTTTCAGTAGAGACAGACTGGACCACAGTAGTCTGGAATGATAGGGTACACCAGCAAGTGCTGGACACACTACACACAACCGAGGAGGAGGTGAAGAGGCTGCTAAGTGAGCTAGATACCTCAAAAGTGGCGGGACAGGACATCTCTCCGTGGGTCCTGAGAGAGGAAGCAGAGGCGCCGTGCGTGCCGCTAACAACAATCTTTAACAACAATCTTCAACACATCCATTGAAACAGGGCAACTACCCGAGATGTGGAAGAGCAAATGTAGTCCCGATCTTTAAGAAAGGAGACAGACAGGTAGCATAAAACTACATAGACCAGTGTCACTGACATGTATAGTATGCAGAGTCATGGAGAATTTATCAGGAAAAGACTGGTGGAGCATCTAGAAAGGAATGAGCTTATAAAAAAAAAGCACGGTTTCAGGGAGGGCAAATCCTGTATCACAAACCTACCGGAGTTGTACGGCAAGGTAATAGAAGTAAGGCAGGAGAGAAAGAGACAGAGAGAGGTAGGTAGACTGCATTTTCTTGGATTGTAAGAAGGCTTTCGACACAGTTCCACACAAGAGATTGGTGCAGAAGCTAGAGGAGCAGGCGGGAATAACAGGAAAGGCAGTGCAATGGCTCAAAGAATACCTGACAGGAAGGAAACAACGAGTGATGGTACGCGACGAGGTGTCAGAGTCGACGACTGTAACGAGCGGGGTTCCACAGGGGTCAGTCCTAGGGCCGGTGCTGTTTCTGGTATATGTGAATGGCATATACGACGTGAAGCTAATACGGAGAGGTCAAGTGGGTGAGGATCAGATAGAACTACAAAGGGATCTGGACAGGCTGCAAGCCTGGTCCAACAACTGGCTCCTGGAGTTTAACGCCACCAAGTGCAAAGTCCTGGAAACTGGGGAAGGTCAAAGAAGACCGCAGACAGAGTACAGGCTAGGGGACCAAAGACTGCAAACCTCACTCAAGGAAAAGGATCTTTGCGTGAATATAATATCGAGCACATCTCCTGAGGCGCACATCAACCAAATAACTGCTGCAGCATATGGGCGCCTGGCAAACCTAAGAATAGCGTTTCGGCATCTTAGTAAGGAATCGTTCAAGACTCTATACACCGTATACCTCAGGCCCACATTGGAGTATGCAGCACCAGTATGGAACCCACACCTTGTCAAACACGTCAAGAAATTAAAGAAAATGTAAAAGTTTGTAACAAGACTAGTTTCAGAGCTAAGGGAGGTTGAGGGAATCCACCTAACGACACTGGAGGACAGGAGAGATAGGTGGACATGATAACGACATACAAAATACTGAGAGAAATCGACAAGTTGGATAGGGACATAATGTTTGAGAGATGAGACAGAGCGACAAGGGGTCACAACTGGAAGTTGAAGACTCAGATGAGTCATAGGGATGTTAGGAAGTTTTTCTTCAGTCATAGAGTTGTCAGGAAGTGGAATAATCTGGAGTGATTTGGAAGCAGGATCCATACATAACTTTAAGCTCATGGAGTAGGGAGAGTTACCAAGTAGCGACCAGTTAAGAGGCGGGGTCAGGAGCTGTAACGACTCCTGCAACCACAACTAGGTGAGTACACACACACACACACACATCAAAGTCAAACATTTAATAACTAAGATTTTCGAGAAATTTACTTGAGTTTTTCAGGTTTAAATACTTATCTCGATGTGAATATATTTCACTATTTTTAATATCGAGGCAAAGCAACTCCAGCGGTGCTCTCATTAACATCAAATCTAATACTTACAAAATGTGACTAACTTATGCTTCAAAAATGTTGGCCAGAGTGCTGGTGGTCGCGGGTGTGGTGCTAAAGTTATGAGGGAGCATTCTCACCACCTGTTTCAAGACTCCCACTTTACCATCTCCAGAGCTAATTTTGGATTATAACCTGTACCCTAAGATATATATATATATATATATATATATATATATATATATATATATATATATATATATATATATATATATATATATATATATTATATTATATTATATTATTAGTGTTGCTTTGAATTTCCCATACTGTTTTTTTTTTGAGGGGATAAATATAACCACAACTTCTACTACTACTACTAATAATAATAAATAATAATAATAATAAGAGGTAGAAGAAGAATGATAATTATCATTATAATTAATTAGTGGTGAATTAAGATGAGGTGCGCATCGAGACATGTGAAGATAGATATACCTGTCATATATACTTGTCACCTATGTATGACACACTTGAGTGTTGTCACTGCTCCAAATGACAGGTAAAAATCATCTTCCTTTCATATTTTACTACACTATAGCGTAGCAGTGTTTCATGTTATAATTCACTATAACAAAGCAGTGTTGACGTGTCCGTATTACCCATAGTTTTTCTGTGGATTCAAACTGGACCAAAATTAGTTACTAGTTACCCTGTTAGGTTAATGGAGGTTAACCTGGCGTTGTTTAATCTATATTTACATATAGTTAACGAATATACATAAAAAGATGGTTTACATTTGGCAACGACCAGCCACTTAGGGTAGAGGACAGGTTTCACTCGATACTAGTTGCACATAAGGATATGCGATTCTAGTGTATGTATCTTTATCGAGCTGTATTCCGAGCAATTGTATTTCTTTAGGGGAAAAAAAGATTTACTTTTTCTGGCAGACAACTGCAGCAGCAGAGAATAACTTTACCGCCTCCATAAAAGTTGCCCTTATTTCTCTCTCTTTTTTTTGGCTCTAGCGTAACAAAGTGAGATGTACAACATTTATAAATGATTATTTTTTTTGTGTGTATA